TATCTTCTCTCCTCCAGATAGAGTAGCAGAGGTTCCTCACAAGCAAACAAGGAAGAAGAAATAGTTGGGGCTGATATGGAGAGTGGCAGAATAGAGGAAAAAATCTTCAGCAATTAAGGCTGAAATAAAGAAGAAAAACGATTTCTGTAGGAACCAATCCTTGATACCATGAACATAAGAGTATAACTTTTTTCAGTCATTAATCTTTTCTGTATAGAAAGGAAGACATTTAAGCTGATTACAAACTGTACAACTAAAGAAATTGATTTTGTACGATATTTCATTTTAATTCATTTCCTATAATATGGGCTGATTTGATATTGATTAAGTGGCCCAAAATAGGAGATAGATTCCCTTAGTTATGAGATTATAAAATTCCTTAATTATGAGATTCAGAATCCCTTGATCATGGGATTTTCTACAGTAGTGGTTTGTGACGAAGCTAATTCCTTTTACCTAACCATGTTCTTTGTTTCGCCTAGCAATCTAACATTGGAATATGGAAGTTTGGAATAAGTAATTAGGCATTGAATAGATTTAACAAACAATTCTTTAAACTAGTCATCTCTAAAATCGAATTCATCTTTTTGGATTGGGCAAATGACATAAGCATTTTCTAAAAACTTAGATGGATTTAGAAGCTTTTCATAAAAATAAGATTTAGATGTCATCATGTACTTCAGAGAGACAGAAGTGGCTTGATATTGAGGCTCAAACTTCCATAATCCATTAATGATTCCTTCTAGCATCTCTTGACACCTTGTAATTTTGTTGTACAAAATTTCTTTTTTCAAGTATACCCTTGGTTAATGACATTGGCTAAACTGATTGTGAACCATCTAAGGGGCTGAATATGTTTATAAACCAGTTATTGTGAAGGCGAGCAGTGGCCCAAGGTATGTTGTTGGCTGCCGCAGCAAAGTGGACAAAGAGAAGCTGACAGCTGGAACACGGGTGGTTCTTGACATGACTACTCTTACCATCATGCGGGCTCTTCCACGAGAGGTTGAATATCATATATTGTTGCATGTTTAAGGTTTACTAATATGTGATGGCATTTAGTAAAATTATTGTTGTATCAGTATTTTCTCTTATCATGGATTTTAAAGAGCAAAAATCGACATGCGTTTGTGTTTTGTGCTCATTACTTGGTTGCAGGTTGATCCTGTTGTGTATAACATGCTCCATGAAGACCCTGGGAATGTTAGCTACTCTGCTGTAGGTGGACTATCTGATCAAATAAGGGAACTGAGAGAATCCATTGAGCTGCCTCTTATGAATCCTGAGCTCTTCCTTAGAGTAGGAATTAAACCTCCAAAGGTTGGTGTAGATAATTTTATTACCGAGTGTCTACCTTTTAAGAAGACAGAACCTTGAATATGATTATTGTCATGTTTAACCTCTTTAGACAACTCATTTTATGAGTGCAGGGAGTCCTACTCTATGGTCCTCCAGGAACTGGAAAGACATTACTGGCAAGAGCAATTGCTAGCAATATTGATGCAAATTTTCTGAAGGTAAATTATTGTTAAGACTTAAGACATTCTGCTATGCTTTTTATATTTTTAACCTTTTGATGTTCATGAGTAGGTTGTGTCAAGTGCCATAATTGACAAATATATAGGCGAAAGTGCACGGTTGATCAGGGAGATGTTTGGCTATGCACGTGATCACCAAGTAATTATCTGCCTCTTTGAATTCCTTTGACCTTCTCTTTTTCTGGTTTGGCATGTTTAGTCAATTAACATGGTTAAAATATAATAACCTCATCTTTTGCCTGGTTGATTTGCTATAAGATTGCTTGCATATGAATTCATCTTGCACTAAGTGTATCATGATCATGGATGTGAATTGTAAATTTATGCATCTCAGCCTTGCATTATTTTCATGGATGAAATTGATGCCATTGGTGGCCGCCGGTTCAGTGAGGGAACCAGTGCAGATCGTGAGATTCAACGAACCTTGATGGAACTACTCAATCAGCTGGATGGATTTGATCAACTGGGAAAGGTATAACTCATTATTCTAGCAATATTGTTAGTGCTTGTAACTGTTGTTGTAATCGAGTATTACAAAATTTCTATTCGTTAGATATATTTTCGAAGTTGTAGGGACTAAGAAGTAAGAACATTACATTCTTTTAGATCTCTTGTATCTGGACTTATTTGTCCAAAATTTGCAGAATAATAGTCCATATAGAAATATCTTATGGACTTTATATCAAAAATACATGGACCCTTCTCATGGTCTTTTATCCTGTCCATGAAAAGGACAAATCGTTATGCTACGATAGGCTTTAGTGGATATGTTTGTTTAAATGGCAACTATGATGTTTCTTATAAGATGTCAGAACTCTCTAGTTAAAAGCTTTTTTCACAAATTTTCTGTCCAGATTATATATTGATATTGGACATAACTTAAATGAGAAACCCCTTCCCTTTTTATTTGATTTTCTAAAATATGGGGGTTTTGGTTTTGGTTTCTGTTTTATAGTTAAGGTCAGAGAAAAGTTTTTGGTGGTTTGACAGTATAGAGTTGAATTTTGAATTTATTAGTTTTGGCTGTTAAACTTTTTTAAAGATCAAGAAAAGGAGAAGAAGGAAAGAGGAATTTTGTAGATCGAGCAGCGGATTGGCAGTTTAACTATTATATGGAGCTCCAAGAAAACTTAGATGACTAGGCAATGCACTCATTTCGTAGTAGCTAGATTTATATTTGTGGTTAAGAAAATGCAAATTATCATATTTTAATGGCCTTTCTTTTGTATTTATATTATCAAAATATGAGCATTTTTCTATGTATGCCTTAATAAATTACTTTACGAAGAATTGAGTACCATATGTATCTTGGTTCCTAAGTGATGTTATCTTTTCCTCATGGTGTTAGGTCAAGATGATTATGGCGACAAATCGACCTGATGTACTGGATCCAGCTCTTCTTCGTCCTGGTCGTCTGGACAGAAAAATTGAGATTCCATTACCAAATGAACAGTCGAGGATGGAAATTCTCAAAATTCATGCTGCTGGTATAGCAAAACATGGTGACATCGACTATGAAGCAGTTGTAAAACTTGCTGAGGCAAGTTTGTTTTTCATCCTTGCAAAGCATATTGTGGTCACAAGCAAATTATAATTACTTCCATTTTTTGTTTGTCTCTACACTCGTTAAACCTGTTTTATGAGTAAACTTCCCATTTTTCCAGGGTTTTAATGGAGCAGATCTTCGTAATGTGTGCACAGAAGCCGGTATGTCAGCAATTCGTGCAGAACGTGACTATGTTATTCATGAAGACTTTATGAAGGTAATTTACCCTTTATCATGAAGAATAATTTGGACCATACGAGAAAATCAAATCCAGCTGTTTTCCAGTTGCTTGAAGCTAGTCAGCACAAATCATATCTTCATTTCTAATGACTTTGGTGGAGAATGCCAAACTGAAAGTTGCACTCGGAAACTATTTGATTGAGACATCTATCAAGTCTCTTATTTTATTCCAAGGAGTTCTATTTGATGCATATAGAATTTCACATTTCCTGTACTTTGTCGATATACCTAAACTGTTTGATAGGTGATGGCATCTGTCTTGAAGTTTCTTATGGCGCTTTCAGTAGACAGTTACTGCCTGATGTGAGACCATTGTTCTTTATGCTGTCATTTCTCATTTAGTTATATTTTATTAGGATAAATTTCTAAAATTCAACATCTAGTTATTTTTAGAGGTTATAATCCGACCAGTTGTCTCTGCATGTGCCAGTTGATTTATGTAATATAATTAGTTCTCTTTAAGATATGTGATGTACCAATTGAGGACTCGGAATTCTTGCCCTTGGCTGTCTTCAACATGGTTGCTAGTTGCTACAGTTATTTCTGTCAATATAAACTTGTAAACTTTGTTAATGTTGTGTTAAAGTCATACTTTCATCCTTCAATGGACAAGACAGATTAATATGATGTTCCTTCATTGAGTTTCTTAAGTTGTAGCCTTCTTCTATATGAACTAGTGCATTTAAGTTTTGAATGCATGCTTATCATATTAATTTCCTCATCGATGAATCAATCACAAGGCATGATGCTAACACATCTTTTTGCATCCATTGATTTTCTCAGGCTGTCAGGAAACTCAATGAAGCAAAGAAGCTAGAATCGAGTGCTCACTACAGTGCTGATTTTGGCAAGGATTAGGTAGCCTATTAATTATACCCTTCCTAGGATCTTGGTGGTTTATGTCTCGCTTGTAACTTGATCAACTACTTGCTTCAGTTGTTCTTTGAATTAGAGCTCAACTGTTTGGTTCTTGCATGATTTCCTAATTTATCTGTCATCTGGAGAGGGGATTAGCATCACACTACGTGTGTTCCAAGGCGTAGTTTTAATCTGGTCGAAGAAGTATCAATTTGGATAACTGTTCTTGTACACAGCATCAGACTTGGTCGATCGTGATCGACAGACCCACCGATGGGACTTGAGATTTAGAGCTGGGATCATCTCTATGGTTGGGGTTAGGGTTGTAGGTCAAGACAAAGGTTATGCGGATAAATGATTTATGATTGGAGTATTACTACTCTTTTTAATGTGAATTTATATATGATTTATGATTTACCGACGTGAGAGGAAGTTTATAATGATTTGTGATTTTTGGCCAATGGCGCATTCAAGGATTTTGTCACTATGATTTGTTGTTATACATGGAGCAACATTATTTGTTGCATATGTTTACAACAGAACCTAAAGCAATAGATAGGTTTTGTTCGTTAGACACTAACACTGCTTTATTCTGGCATAATAATATTCAGGAATCCCTTTGAGATCTTGCCGAGTGAGCTGCGCACGTCGAATCAGCTAAACACCAAACTCTTTTGTCATACGGATGGAATCCGTGTGAAAAATTGATTATTAGGAAGATACATACATGAACCGGTGGCGTCTAGCATCGTCTGCTATCCAAAGCAGAAATCTTATCCAACATCGGACAATTCATATGCATAATCGCAAGAAAGATAGAAGGGAAAAATGTACACAAACACATCATTCTCATCCATGATAATATGCAGATGACATTCCACCTGCATCAGACATTACTAATGGTTTATCAACCACAAAAACCAACCATACTCTTCTAGATTCCACCTTTTCAAAAATAACAAATTAGAAAATGAAAAGGACGACGAGTTGATACTTTTCTTCTCCAAGCGCTGCTAGTCTTCGAAACTGAATGAATACTCGGATAACGAAAATGATGCCTGCTAGTCTTTCAAAATTGAATGCTTAAATAACAAATAAGTGATGGCACCTCGAAACTGAATGCTCGGATAACGAAAATGATGCCCGCTAGTCTTTCAAAATTGAATGCTTAAATAACAAATAAGAGACGGCACCGCACATTAGCATATCACTTTAGCGCCTGCTGGTCTTCCCAATAGAGCGCTTCCCAGAGAACAAATGCTTTGGTTTCAGGTTCGGAATTACTCTATCGGCTTCTCCCTTGCGTGCAGCCTTATTTCTCACCTTAACTGACTTCTTAGCTATCTTGAGTGCCTTCAGTTTCTGAGCAGAGTCTTTGAACCCTTCTCCAGGGGTGACTTCACCAGGTGGCCTTGATTTTGACCTTGACCTACTTGCTGACCTTGATCTTGACCTGGTACGCAGCTTCTTGTTAGACTGCTCATCATCGACATCCATAGCTTCTCCATCTTCACCTTCTTTGCCAAGTGACCTCTCCCGTTTACGACCTTTCCTAGACAGGGACCTCCCACGTGCACGATTGATGGCGGCAGTAGGGTCTATTCCCAAAGCAGAGAGCTGTCTTCCCATCCTCTCAGACGTGTATTTTTTGTCTTTATCAAACTTCCTAGGCACAATAGGACGGCTCTCGGCAGTGCTCTTCTTCATCCTGTGCTCTTGGATGAGCAGGTTCTTCTTCCTTCTGATCTCAGCGAGTAGTCCTCGCTCTTCCTCAGTCAATTCTTCTCCATCCATCTCAAAATCTCCTCCATCTGCCTCTGCATCAAGACGAAGACCCTCTTCTCGTTCCAGCTCTTCCAACCTCAGCAAGATGTCAGGATCAATGAAATCATACACATTATGCCCATCTAGAATCTCTGGCATAAGGTCCTCTTTCCATCCCTCATCAGCCAATATATAATGCTTCCTTAGGCTAGCAGAATAAACACCAGCTCCACCATTCTCTTCTTCGAGATCTTTCTCAAGCTTCCTCTTTTCCTTCTCCTCATTAGCCTTCGCTCTAGCTTCCAGAACTGCTGGAGGAATACAAGGAGGGCGTTCTTTTGTGTCACGGGGCTTAGGAATTGCAACATGAAACCTGTTCAGACAATCATTGATCTTTTTTGACTTCATCTTTATCTCCACCCGCTGATTTAAAAGCCTCTCACAAGCAGCATTCTTGACAGCTATGACTCCCTCGTCTGTCATGGTACTCATAGTCAACAAGACTCCCTCATCATTAGAGTCTCCGCCTTGGGCTATTATAGTTTTGGCGGCCTCAGCTTTCATCTCCGTTACCAATTTCATGTCCTCTTCAGAGAGCCCTTCCAGTGACTGCAGATCAATCTTGTTACAAACAACAATAAGTGGCTTGTTCATGAACAGTGACTTGATGCTGTGGAAGAGAGCTGCCTGCTGCTCTATGCTATAACCACAGGATCCAGATATGTCCAAGAAGAATAAGACTGCAGCCTTTAAGTGCGCCAAAGCTGTGATACTGCACATTTCTATGATGTTTCTGTCCTCAAAAGGCCGGTCTAGAATCCCAGGAGTATCAATCACCTGGTAGCGGAGGTATTTGTAATCTGTGTGACCAACAAACAGCGACTTGGTAGTGAAAGCATATGGCTGGACATCAACATCAGCCCTAGTGACCTTGTTCATGAAAGAACTCTTTCCCACATTAGGATACCCACAGATCAAAATGGTACGGGTGTTCGGGTCAATTGAAGGGAGCCTAGACATATGCTGCCGTATCTGCTCCAAATAAGCCAAACTAGGGCTGATGCGCTTTATCACAGTGCACATACGACCTAGAGCAGCGACCTTCAAGCTCTTGCACCGGTACAATGAGTCTCCATACTTGAGTAACCTAACATAATCTTTTGCAATCTTCCCAATGATGTTCCTAGCCGTGTTAACCTGGCCCAGAGCAAGCTTGTAGTGGTCTTTGTTGTATAGTACGTGGAGCAAATCTCCGTAAAAGGGGTGGATGTCATCGAGCCGAGGGAACTCATCGATGATGGCGGACAGTTTCTCATGGAAGTTCTGCTGGGTGAACTTCACCTTTCGCATGTAGAATTCACGGAGCCGGGAGATGGCATATCCTTTGTGGACGACAGTTGGGGTTTGGCGCTGTGTGCGGGAAAGAATGATGTCAATGAAGTCCTTCCCAGAAGGGACAACAGTTATCTTTTTGAAGTTGTACTGCACCATCCTCCCAATCAGTTGTCCACACCAAATTCTTGTGTTTAAACCTTTGGTTTTCCTGAAAAAAAATGCAGTCTGTAAGATATCTGATCAAGATAATACATATCTACATCTGAGTTGACAAAATCTAAGGCTATCCAAAAACCTTGTCATTACATCTTAGTTGCATACCTAGGTGAACTGACAGATAAGAGGAACAGTTATCAGAAGTATGAACAATTACAAATTATAGATTACCTTCTCTTGCCAATTACAAAAAATCATGAAGAACATTAACTGAAATGACGCTGCTTCTGCATTCCGTTCGATTGATAACCCATATATCCGAAGTAGATCGTAAGATAATAATTCATCAAATTCAAATTTATCACAAGGCTTAAGTCTTGCCTAATAGCATATACCTAAATATAGATAAAAAGGAAACACAAGAAATTCTGTATGCCACAATACCAATTGTTCATATAGACCACCAGGACAGAAAAGGACAAGTTTTTTGTTCCCAAAATCGCATTTGATGATCATCCTCCAAGTGATACTAATCCGAACTAAGAGATACGCGGAGATTACCATCAAAACAGCAATTTTGATCCTCTCATAAAAAATTACATGTGGGGTTCGCACCACAGACATGATCTAGGAGACGACCTAATCATTAGTGTGAAGTGGAAATAACGACGCCACACCCAAAAAAAAAAAAATTCCAATATCAATTCTCAGAATCGCATCGAAGGAAGCGGGAATCATGTCACGAGTGATTCGCAAAGAGATATCAGATTCGTCAATGAAAACAAAAAGAAGAAGAGAAAAGGTATCACCTGAGAAGTACAGCGGACTGCAGCCGCCGGAAGGAAGAAGGTTAGGGTTTTGCCCAAAACCGCTCGGAAAGACAAGTCGGGCGCTTAAAGGGCTCGCAACCTTTTATAGTGGGTTTTTGTGGTCGGTCCGAGCCCACAAGACTAGCGGGTATCGGATCGATAAGGTTTTCATATCCAAAACATTCGGATCCACATAGATTCGGATCAAACACCACATTTACACACGAGCACAGAGAACCGGCTTCTGTGCGTGGACGAGTGGTGTTAACGGATCTACGGTGAGGATTCAAATATAAGCTTTTGGGTTATCGGGTTTGGGTAGTCAGGCTCCGCCGACGGTCTCAATCTCGTCTATCGAGGTCATCGTCGGACGACGTGGGCAATTAACCCCACGTAGGAGAATAGTGGGCATTTAAGATTATTGTTACGAAGATTATGAGGTTGGTTTGGGAAGAATACATTTGCATTATTAATTAATATATAGTCAAAAAAAAAGTTTTCCTTTTGAGTGAATATATAATTATAGAATAAATACTCTTTAAATATGTATTAAAATATATTATTGGGTAAAATTATATTTCAAAAGTTTATTAAATATTTTATGATAAATTTATCTATCATTCAAATGTTTTTAATATTTATTAAAAAATAAATATTTTTTTTAATTTAAATTACTAAGTAAATAAATAAATGTATGTATGTATGTATGTATGTATGTTATAAAAATTTTATATGGCCCAAATATATAATAAATAAAAATATATTCATATAAATAAATAAATAAATAAATTTGATTATTAAAGTCAAAGTCATTCGTTCATTTATAGTAGTATCAACGATTGATTAAGAAAAAGTTGTGTATCTTTTTAGGAAGCGCATGAAGGCAATATGTTTCCGAAAAAAATTAAGAAAAAAAGGTTGTAATCATTGTGTTGATTCCAGTTTTTATTTTTTCTATAATAGATTTTTTATTTTGACCTGCTTTTTTTTTTTTCCTTGAGAGCTTGTGCAGTTGTCCCTCCCTTGTGACTTTGGGAATCCAAGAGATTCCCTGTTTGATCTGATCCTTTGTCTGACATCTTGATAGATAGAAAGAAAATAAAATTCCTCGTTCTTCTCATACTACAAAACTGGAGTTAATTCTCATACTACAAGAAGCTGCAAATGACCGACTTCAAACCCTACCCTAACCTTCAGGACTAAGCATGTAACCTTCAGTTCTTTCGAGACAGCTTCGACCACACGGTAAAAAGCAGTGCCACGAGTGTCACAGTAAAAAACTTAGCCAACCTCGAGAAGAAGGCTTTGCTTCAAACCCAAACCTTAACGACTAAGAATATATAACTTTTTGGGTACTGATTTGTGCAGTGCTTGCAGAATTGTTAGTTAACTAACTTCGAGAAAGAAGATGGTCGTGATGTATGTACAGCATGAAGACGGTGAAAGTGAAGGGTGTTCGAAAGGAAGCAGTAGCTGCACGATAGCAGTGCTACATGGCGGCTCTTCAGCTCCCAGTATTTTAAGGTGAAAATGTTGAGCACTTCAGTTCTCCCACCATCACACCACTTTTTGTTTCCATACTTCTTATGTTTAGAGTTCAAGTCTTGTATTTTTTTTTTTTAATCTTTGATTAAAAATATATCATCGTTTAGACTTGTATCGTACTCAAGTTTCGATCAGTCTGTCAAGCCTATCAACACAAGATTGAATCGATTGATCAATTTTTTAAGATAAATTTTTTTGATATTTTTGATTAATAGTTTAATTTAATTAATCAATCGTCTAGTTCCGATGTTGGATGAAAGAAAAGAATTTAGAGAACTAAATAAAATCATAGAGATTAATAATAAAAAATATATCAGATTTAACATGGTTCAATGACTCTAGCCTACATCAATAAAGAAAAAAATTAATTTCTTCATCAATTATAAGATTATTGAGTTATCCTCACTCAAGCATAATTTATATATATATATTTTTTACATAAAATTTAAAAAAATATATATATATTTTTTTTCATCCTCTCTATAAATTTTAGAGAACATCCTCTCTAGACACCGTGAGAGAAACTCATAAACACTCAAAACTTAAAAATTAGAGAAATCGTTTGTTGCATGATAAATAAATAAAGAAGAATATCTAATGAGTTAGAGAAAAATAATCAAGTGGTGATGTATGAATTAATTATTATTCATCCCCAAAGAGCACCCACCTCTAAGGAATTTGCAGGATTCGACAAGTCACCTTAAAAATTTTCTTTACTTTTGGACAAGGAATGCAGTCTGTGCAGAGGCATCATCCAGTCCAATGAGCATATTCTCAACCATTGCGCATATCATGTTCATGGCCGGAGATGGATTTCACATGGTGCTGCTCTCCTGCAGCTTTTGCCTAGGGAAATCAGATGTAGATGGAGAGTTTCGTCTTCTTCTTCTTCTTCTTCTTCTTCTTCTTCTTCTTCTTCTTCTTCTCCTGTAGATGGTTCCTCTGGAAGGACCTCATTGAATGCTGTTTAAATTGTTATTTTAGGTAGCAACCAAAAATATCCTTTTGTTTTAATTTTCTTTTGCAAGTTCCTCCATAATATTTTCTGAATTCCTTTTTAATTAATTATTAAACGACAATTATGATTATTCCTTCATTCCATCTCAAAGATTAAAAAAATAAAATAAAACCTTCTTTTTTTGCCCCCAGAAATTAACAAATAAAATGTTAATTAATTTACATAGAACTCGTTCGTCATCAAAATGGTTACAAGATCCACCGTATCCATCGAACAGTCTCATCTACACCGATCTCCACTTCTCTCATGTATATATATATGGCCGAGACTCCTGTGCATCACGCTGCGGTGCAAATGGGTCGTCGCCGCCGGGAAAGAGGTCGCCGGCCTTGACCGCGGTGAAGACGACGAGGGCGACGGTCACCGTAACGGAGAGGACTGCGAGGATGAGCATTAGGGCGTTGGATGCTCCTCCCTTCACCTCCTGCGCGTACTCCGTCGCCGCCAGCGCCAGCACGGTCAGAGGGAACGAGTACGCCCACCATGCCACGTTGAACCGCCTCATCGACCGCTTGAACAGCGCCGGCCTTGAAACCTGCACGGGCCATCGACGTCCACGTCAGAAACCAATTGAGAGATCCATGCATGCGTCGACTTGTTCGACTGATGAGTTGGGAGGGTGGAAAGGGACTGCAGAATTCGAGTTCTCGACCTTCTTACATGGACTGTGCTACTTAGTGGCCTTACCATCTTTCCGTTCTTTATTGCCAACGCTATCTGCTAACGTGTATGCGACGCAACTTTGCGTCTTCTGCACCCGCTTTAGCGTCAAGCTTTTACTTTTTGACTTTAGGTCGCGCTTTTCCTTTTCGGTGGATCAAATCAGTCACGAAGGGAATAAACTAATGAACGTGTTGAAGTCGCATAACTCGTCTAAAGTTGATGATGCCGGATTCCAGGAAGTCATTTGAGATATCTCGGCAAGGCATCAAGTGTTTGTTTGTCCCCATTGATGGTTGATTCGAGCAACCGCGTCAAATCAGAACTCTAGATCCAATGTTCTTTTGGTTGATAACGACAGTTTTGATCCGTGTCCTATGAAGATTTCTCTCCCATTTCCATGCCTTCACCGTCGACAAAGAAGAGCCATGCATGAGAAGAAGTGATGGGGTGATTACCAGGGAGGCAAATAGGAAGAGGGAGAGGAAGAAGAGCATCTTCGAGCCCGTGTCGAACGATCCGGAGATGGAATCCCAGGCCAAGCTGGCCATGCTGGGGGCGGCGATGAACAGGAAGAAGACGGGGCGAAGAATCGATGGGAGGCTGCTGCTCCCGACGAAGCGCTGGTACAGAGTCACGAACAGCACGAGGTAGTGCGCCATGCCGAGGGAGAACATGAACGTCGCGATCTCCTCACACCCCATCCTCGCCGCCGCTCGCGACCCGACCAGGTTCCCGATCACCGTGATCTGGCTCGTCGGGTTTGCCACCATCGACAGGAACCTCCTCCCCTTGGTGAAACATTGGCCGTAGATCTTCACGTCGAGCATGAGGATGGGGACGGCGAACACCCACCAAAGCACACGGTACAAGGCGGCGCCCGGGTGGAGGAAGGGGACGGACTGGAGCAGGAGGAGCCACGAGATCCATGGCGTGAAGAGGTAGTTCACGCCGACGTGGTGAGAGAACTCCGCCTGCACGCTGCGGAACCTGAAAAGGCAGCGGAGGCCATAGAGCACGGAAAGCGTGGCGAGGATGAGGAGCGCGACGGACCAAAGGAGGACGTACGTGGCGGAGGGGAGCATGTGGATCACCGTGCGGAGAGCGTGGGAGTCGGTGCTCGGCTCGCTGAGGGTCTTCCAGAGGAGGGCCTGGCAGCAGAGAGACAGGCTGATGCGGAAGTAACCGGCATGGAAGCCGGTGAGCTTGGACAGAGCTTTCATGGTTGCCAAGTTGAGCACCTCGGTTGGAGCTTTGCAGGTTGACGAAATGGCGGCGGCGGCGGCGGCCGTGATAGGGAGTTGCTGCTCTTTTCCCTTCATGAATGAAGACAAGATAAGAAAGAAGAGGAAAGAGGGAGAAGGTGATAACCTATCTAACTCTGTGGATCTCAAGCTTATGGCCACACTAAATTCTTGCACAAAGAAGAGGATATATATAGATTGGAATGAGTTCTCTTTCCACTGTTGCTGTCTGGAACATAGTGATCCATGTCCTTGCCATGTTGGACTTTGAAGCTCGGAGAAAAAGAAGGCGAATTTGTTTTTGCTTTTGGAGATAATATATGGAAATTGGGTCCAAACTTTAGAATATTATGAGGTCATTTGGCAAAGAGAATGTCTGGGAAGGTCAAACGCACGTGGAGGTGGGTGAGTGTGGGGGTTATGGCCATGTGGTACACGTTGTTGGTCGACGTGTATTGGATACAGCGCACCATTACTTTTGCTAAGCGGCGCCTCACCTGCCTAAGCTATGAGATTTAGCGCAGTAAACCTGTAATTTTGGTGAAATCTTAGAATTGTGCCGGCGGAGTCAAACTGAGTACCAATTGTTTGACTTCTGATGTTACCTTAAAAGCAGAAGATAATTACATCAAACTGAGAACAATGTTTAGCTATAAGACTGTCAGATATTGAGGTTTCAAGAAGCTTTTTTATCTTTTCCATTTAGGATTCTATATATTTATTCTTTCAAAAATTTAAGAACAGCACATTTATTCCTCCACATTGTAAATATATCATATAGACCCCTCCATATACTTTGACATCATATATATATATATATATATATATATATATATATATATATATATATATCCCTTTAGATATTTAAACTCTTCACCCTACATGTCTAAGTAATAAATTCAAATTTTAATTGTTATTATTATTTATAAAATTAAATATTATTAATTAATTTTGATAATGATTTTTTAAAAAATAATGAATTAGTTAAAAAAAATATAAAGAACATATAGATTTTTCATCCTCGTCCCCACTCATGTCGTGTCTAAATGAGAAATGAGATGGAGATGAGAGATAAGATAACGTCAGGAATAAGGGAAATATGTTCTATCCTATCTTATCATATTGATATTCTTAAACAAGATGATAAATCTTTATGAGACATAAGATAGAAAGCTGCATAAAGTCCTTGTTATAAATTCTATTAATCCAGCAGTCAAAGCTCGAATTTAGGCTAAGATTACAGCACAAATTCATCTATCAATTCCTTAAGGAGAAAAAATTTTCAAAAACACCTTCAATACCAGTCTCGATCACAAATCAAAAGGATGAAAGGTTATCTTACACCTCTGACATCCTACAGCACTATTTTAGATCTCTACCGATTGTTCGATGATGACTAAAGATACATGTTCAAACTTTAAGAATTTATTATTAATGTTGAACAATATCAGAATATCTGAATATTTGAGCTGCAGCTCTTCAAAGTCCTGCAAACTGTCACGTTGAAGTAAGGAATCAACAGATAGCAATCTGACCTAATTAACACCTAACATAATCAACAGATAAACATTCAAAATATGATTTTATTAACAAGGTGATTGCTGCATAGCATCATGCTGGAAAGAATGATTGTATGCTATGTATGTTTCTTCCTCTTCTGCTCCTTCTTAGCTAAGCATGATATTTTATCTTGAACATAGTAGGAGTAGCTGGTGAACGATGATACATCACTTGTGTTTCACATATCAACAGGTACTTAAAAGCAACACTTCCACCATCACAGCATGCTCTACATGAGCATCTGACAACAGTAGTTTCAGTTATTTCCTGCATAAAGAGCTACGTAATAGTTTTGTTAAACGATACTGAGATAAAAGAGGCACTGCATGTGTTCATTTGATATGTTCATTGCAGTACCAGTTAAGCCAAGGGAGACAAAGTGCTCTGCCCATGCAGGCATGGAGGGATGAAGTGAAGTGGACAGCACTACTTGAGGTCAGGATCAACTGGCAACCATGAAGCTGTGACCGGTTAGCACTGCCTTAGGATTACACGTCAAACTTTATCACACAAACACCACCATCATTCATGAACAGGAGCCTACTTCCCTTAGTAGCTCCACATCTGATAAATTATATATATATATATATATATCTCTTCATGAGTTGTGCCACGAAGCTCTTGAACGTGTTCATAGTGTGATCATTTCTCTCTTTGACAATCATGTTCAGATGAAGTCCAGAAAAGAAATTCATCCAAAATACACAAAATCTAATGTCATTGACATCTACTTAACCTGTTTTGGTCAAAAAAACAAGAAAAAGTATGTTAAGTAATCAAAGATCTTAAATAGGAATGTTGCTGTATTATACCTGTCCAAGTGTAAAAAACCCTATTTAGTTTTGATTATATATAAATTTTATTATTTTACTGTAAAAATAATTCAGAATAAATCTAAAAATAATTGAAAAGTAGGGAATATTTCACCGTGTCTGAAATATTTTATTGCCTGATCTGATTTGATGATATTATCCTTAGATATGATTTAAATGTAATCAAATAACCTACCCAGACTAGGTAATTAATAGGATTTCTTAATTTTAAAATATTATTCCAAAATTTCTCGAATAATTCCTAGATTTACTAAAATTCCTTCCCCTTCCCTGTATAATGAATGACCTGATTGAGTTGCTAAGAGGTATATTCTCTGATTTTTCACTTTTCTTGTAAGTTATATATTTTCATAATAATGATAAGCATAGTCTGATTTGATAAAATTTTATTAATTTTAAAATTATTTTATTATTGTATTATACTTATCCACATGTAAAACCCTTATGTAATATCCTAAATTTAATAAATTCGGAATAAAATCGAAAATAAATAGAAAGTAAGGAATATTTCACCCTATATAGAATATTTTATTTCGTTCAACCTGATTTGATTATATTTTTATTCTTAGATATAATTGAAATCTAATCAAATAACATAGTTTAGATAATTAATAGGATTTGTTAATTTTAAAATATTTTAAATTTTCTTAATCAATCTATTAAATTTTTTTTCTTCTATATAATGGCTCGTGATGCCCTCCTTATTGTTCACAGTCACAATATCTTCAATCAAAAGAAATCAAATATTTATTCTGAATTTAGTGAATTTATGATAGTACATGAGGGTTTTACACATGGATTGGTATAATATAATAATTTTAAATTTTTATTAGAATTAGATTGGGACGAATTCTCAGAAAAAAAATTATTTTTTAAAATTTTTGCACAACGCCCTTGATTGTGTTTACTCCTACCTTCATCAGATTCATCGTCGTATATCTCCCTTGTCTCTATGGACAATGAAGACCCCTTGTCCCTTCCCCCCCTCAAAAAAAAAAGACTGATGGTAAGGTTATACAGGCTGTCCCCTCTCTTTCTTCACCCATAGTTGATGACGCAAGGAGGCTTACAAACAATAGCGAAGGCACACTCCCTACCCCCTATGATTAATAGTGAGACCTATGGCTACCCCTTGAACCCCTGCACCAATAGCATGAGCTGTCCCCTTTCCTTTCTTACCCATGATCGACAACAATGAGAGCCTACGGGTGACAAAGGTAGTTATTGAGATTTGATAAGGGCATGACCTCCACTGTTGGTCACCTCCGCACATGATCGTGTTTACACCATGGGCGATGGGTGATTAGCGAGGCAAAGGCCCGACTTGAGGTTAGACAAAGTGTGAGGATCAATAAAGGTAGAATAATTATTTTTGAAAAAAAAATTCTATGAAAATTTCTTAAAGTTGGAGCACTATTTAAAAAATTCTTAAAGTTTGTTAACGAGTGCTCAGAGAGAGAGAGAGAGAATATGTGAAACTAAAAATTAGAATAAATTCCTCTCATGGGAGGTGAGAATTAGATTTTGGGTTCCATAAGTACTGATTTTTCATTTAAATTCTCTATAGATTTCTTCACATTCTACATTATTATTGAAACCGTTAGTTGAAAGTAAAATAAATAAATAAATAGAATTATATATATATAATTATATAATTTGTATCAGGTATCAAAGAGAAGGATGACTTTGCAGTACGGAGGAGTCGTTATCCCGCCGTGGAGCATCGGCGGCACTCCAATTAGGGCACGCAAGACGACGGCGCCCTTCGTGGTGGCCCTCTGCCATCCTCTCCACCGCGACGCCGGCTCACGCCAGCTGCGCATTCAACTCGACCAACTTCGCGCCGAGGCGGAGGCCACCCGCTCCAAAGGTAACCCTTTCCCTCTCTCTTCCTTATGCGAGTACCACAAGATGAAACTGTGTTCTATGCCATGGTGTGATCCAAAATTTGTAATTTTTATGATTTCTTGACGAGGAATTCGCGTCATCTGGATTTAGAGACCGGAACGAGCATATTAAGTCACGTATCATGTCTCTGCTTCTTATGTTACTATAATTTTGATGATTGAATATGTAAGGGGTAGAATTCAAGTCCTGAAGCAAATTTGTGGGAAACCGGCGGTATAATTCGTTTTCCTGCTGTTATGTTTTTTTTCTTCCTTTTGCGTATCTTGTTCAAGAAAATGTGACTGATTCTTGAGTAAGAAAGAGCGATAGATGCAGATAGGAAAGAGCAATAGGTGCCATCACAATTAGTGTGACTTATACCAAAGTCCCAGAAAAATTGGTGAAACCTGATTTTCCCCTTTTTTTGGACACCCAATTATCCTACTAGATTCACCATTGATCCATAGGCTGTACTTTGTAGCTCAAAGCCCAGAAATAGTGTCAATATTGGATTCTCTCCTTCCTTATAATGGATTGGTAAATTTGGCAAGAAGGAGAAATTAGTAGCCAAATTTTGAGATGACTGCCCTAAACAAGAAATAAGATTAAAAAAATTGTTAACCAAATAATTTTCCCTTCTACATTCTTGATCTCCCTTCCGTATAACATAAGGACTCATCTATGCTCTCCCAACTTTCCAGTCCTTAGGTAACACCTACGGTCTGCTAATCTCCATGAAATAACTGCATATCTAATTAGATTCCATTAACTACGGAATAAGTCCATCCTAACTTCTATTGCAGCCCATACCAAATAAGTACCTTCCTAGATGCCCATGCATGCAAGAATTAAAATTGCATTAGTGTTTTCATTGTGTTTCTTAAATATCAAAAGGTTTCTGGTTTTCCAAGTACAACATCATATTTGAGAGACTGATGAATGTACTCAAGTCCTAAAGGGCTATTGGTTGGCATTGCCAAAGTGAAACTTTTGCTAGCATTAGGAGCACTAAAAGTTGTAGACCAATTATATATTCAATTTTCTCCCAGTTAATGTTTCATGTCTGACGATCCAATGAGAAGCATACCAGTTGTGTTCTTCCAATTATTTCACCTTCTGATTTGAATTGTTGAGGGGACTGCTAAGATTAAATGAATAAGAAAATTTCATGAAGTTCTGTGGAAATGACATCATTACTCTTCTTAATTCCAACTATGTGGTAGACCAAGTAGTCTTGACTATATGAACAATCCAAGCATCATCAGACCTAGCTTTGATATAGGATGAAATTTCAGCATAAATTAGGCTTCGACAGCCATGAAATTAGAGAACAGAATTTTCTGAAAATTTCTTTAATTTGATTTTGTAGAATACGAAACTCAATTGCATGGTTCGATGGTTGTCTTGTCCTTTATAGTTGCTATAATTAATTCAACACAATCATGAATACATTATGAATCTTTTTTGTTTCCTTTCATGAGATTGTAAATTGTAATTTCGTACTACCAACTCAATCTTTGTTGCAACTTCAGACCAACATCAGGGGCTTGGGGTTTTAGCAAGATAGGAGTTAGGGGTTGTATTGGTGTGACAACCTAAGGTTCACATCATTATTATTTAAGTTTCTTGGTTCATTCATTATTCTCCCCTCTATGCCATGTTGTTCCTCTGGGGAGAATGGTTTTGACACCAGCATAAATACAATCGTCTATTGGATCATGTTCAACCTCAGTAAATCTTGTGAGTGGTAATAATCTCATAATGTCATGACTCGATTGGATGGGTTAACCAAATCATTGACTTAATAAGACTAAACCACTGGCTCAAAACATTTATGCCTAATTTCTCAATCTAATTACTAGAAATCACACCATCAGTTAGTATTAGAGGAAGAAGAGGGAGAAAAAGAGGGAAAGAAAAGGAAAGGAATAGAGAAAGAGTAGGAGGACCATTATTGATTGCAATTACCACATGCAACAACTATAAGAGGAACAAAAGAGGTGGACAGCGAGAGAGGAGGAAGAATGAGAGCTCAAAAAGTTGGATTCTATTATTGTCATTGTTGCATGACACTACTGTCATACTACAGAAGGATAGTGAGATAGAGGGGAAGCAAAGAGAGTGAAGAAAAGGATAATCATAAGTGTCTTAATCCTATGTCACACAAGATCAAGTTTCACGTAAGAATCCTCTCCAATTGTATTTTATAGTGGAAATATCCAATTCTATCTATATGAGCCCGATAACTGTCACCTTACATGGGGTCCAACAACCTACAACTATAGACTGCTCGATGAAGATTGGTTTTCATAACAATTAGAGAGTTTCCTAGCCATTTTTCCTCCCTCCTACTCTCCTCTTTCTCCTTTTTATTTTTTTAATCAAGCATATTTATAGAATATGATTTGAGTATTTTTATTTCTTTTTTCCTCTTTTTTATTTTTTATTGTCTAAATATTTTTTGCTTTGTCTTGACCTGGTCGTTTTTTTCTGACCGAACTTGATCTTAAAATATAACCTTGGCTACGTTCATTATTTTAGAGTTAGATATGACGAATTCACTATTGATCTTAAAATATAACTTGGCTACGGTCATTATTTTAGAGTTAGATATGAAGATTTCACTATAGGCTGGTGCTTCTTTGGAGTAGCAAAGGGCCAGCCATCTCAGGAATCTGAAGTACATATTCTTAATAGGAACCACCCACGAGTTTTTTGTGTGGTTTCCTCTGCCATTGGGCATTGTCAGGTGTTAATCTAGCTACATTTCTGTTACTTATAGTTCCCAAGTATTCTTTCTTTTTCTTGTGAACATGTACCTGAAAATCTTCTCAGGTGTCGCACTGATTGACCATATTTTCAACTAGATTGAACAATATTTATGGCTCATATGTAGATTATTGATACTCTAAAGCATTCTTTCTTGTGCCAGCCAATGCTGCACGATTGAGGCTCATGCGTCTAACAGAGGCAGCTGAGAATCTTCGAAGCAGAGCTGCTATGAGCATCCAAGTTGGAAAGGAAACTGAGGCAACGGAGCTACTCATACAAAAGAAGAAGTTGATGCAAGCCTTAAAGAAATCAAAGAATCGCATTGAGGTTCTTGATAAACTTTCATCAAAGATTAATGAGGTGAAAATTCATAATATTGGAGGTTTATTGTGTATTTTCGCCTTATTGTTTATTAAGTTTGTTCTTTTTCTTCTGATATTTCTTGTGACTATGTTGAGGTGTTCGATAAATTTTCAGCAATTATTAGTGAGGTGAAAATTCATGATACCACCAACTCATGGGAGGTTAATTGTGTATATTCACCTTATTGTTAAATAAGTTTGGTGTTTTCCATCTAATATTTTTGTTTATCACTATATTGTTTATTTTGTGGAGAAAGTATCTCTATTTATGATAAAGTAATTTTGTGTTATTGGACTCATATGAGTTCTTGTAAAGTAGTCACAGCAATAGGAATCCATGAAATTTAAGTCAGCCCACATGCAGGACTACACACATGATGTGAGCTTGTATTTTCTGGGAGGACCCTCCTTGAGAATTACTGAATTTATAAAGATTGTAGATATAAATTAGTCTGACATGGTTTGCTGTCAGAAGTTGCACTCATGTCTGAGCCATAAACTACAAGTGATATCCTGACAAGCATAGGTTGGTTCTTGTTTTTATTTTTCATTGAAGAAACTGGATAAGTGATATTAGTTCATTCTTTTTTATTCTTGCTTGTATTTGGATCTTAAGTTGGAGATGTACTTGTGTTAAATGTTGAAGCACCACTTTCCAACTTTAAGGTCAAAACACATCAGAATATCTGTTTCCACTTGTGGTCATATAATAATCACTACCAGCCACAATAAATGTACTCTTTGGTCTTGTGGAAAATATGTTCAATCTTCCAAAGGTCATTGCAGTCATCTGCAACATAAGTAGCTGGGTAGTTGGACACCGCACTGTCATAGACTTAGTGGGTTTTGCATAAGTTGTGCAGCATTATTGCATGTCCGTTCGCAAAGGTTAGCCTCCCCGTAACCTTGCAGGGTCCCATAAGGACCTATAAAAGATAAAACAGGTCAATAGAAGTGTTAAATTCGGATTCCATAAGCATACATTTTTGTAAACACTTGATAGACAATGGAAAATATAAAGATGGACTTCACAAGCTTTGAATGGTTGTTCAATAAAGCATCTAAGGCAGTCCGCCATACGCAAAAGTCCCCATGCACAAGTGCCCAAATGACACTATCATAGAGCCAAGCGACAAACCAACTTAAAACATGACCCATCTAACCATGTGCCACCCGGGTTACTCCAAGATGCTGAGATAGCTAATATTTTTGGTGGAAACCATCCAAAATGGCTGCTAAAGGCCTTGTTTTTGGGCCGTTTTTTCTCTATGTGATTGCTGCACATATGCTGCATTTACAAGCTTGAAATGGAAATATAACCCAACAAAAAATAAGGTTGCCACGCATACTATAGGCTGTGCTATGTTTATAAGCCTAAAACAATAACAAAACCCAACCAAAATGGGGCTGTTAAGTCTACTGCAAGCTCCTTATATATACTGTATAAGACATGAACAAAATCGAAGAGCACGACATACAGAGACATTACGTTGAACACATTCCTTGTGAACTGTCCATGACTACACGTGGTAGATACTAGGAAGTAAGGTTTGCATACATGTAACTTGCAGCCTAATAAAACTTCTTTGTTCTGCACCTCTTGTGCATTTAGGGCATCATCTTACATGCACATCATGGCATCTTCTACACTGGCAATCCTTTATTTAAATTATTGTGGTTATTATTTCCCAAGGAAGATCTTCTGGCTATTCTTAAAGGGAATCTTTTTACAATTTCATCATATACCAATTTTGTATGTTAAATCAGCTCTATATGGTGGACTTATGTGGGAAAAAACTACTTTAGGCAATTTCTCTGAAGGAAACACAACTAATTGGACAAGTTGCCATTCAACCTGAAGATAACATATCAGATTCCTGTGGACAGATTCATTTTGTCTCCCCAAAAGAGGATACTGTTGAAGTATCAAAGTCAAAAGACTCTTCAATCTTATCAGAACAATGTGAGCATCAAGATCATGATGCTGGAAATTATGAAGACAAACCATCAGGAGATAGTGGACAACCAACTTTTCTGGCATCTGTGAGCAGTGACATGTCGAATTTTGCGAAGATGGTTGACAGTTCAGAAGGCTTCCATGAGCACATACTCGAGAATATTGATATGCAACTTAAATTACTGGAAACAGACATTGAAAATTTCTTAAGGTCTCAATCCATGACAGAAGAAACCAAACAGAAGCAGATGAATGAAAAACTAGAGAAACTATCAGAGATACTCAAGGATGTACTCAGCATCAGAGAGAGGTAAGTTTTAATTGACTTGTGATATTGCTTGTAGTAGATAAGACAGTAATGGCTTATCTACTACAAGCAGAAATATAGATGCATTAATACGTCCAAAGAATGAGGTTGTATTGATACGTGATATGCATTAATACCAAACAGCATCAGAGAATGAGGTTGTATTGATACGTCCAAAGAAGAAATATAGATGCATTATTCATACAATGTAAGCCAATTAGCGTTGGCTGTTCGAGGAAAGGTAGATAAGACAGTAAAACCTCATTCCAAACATTATTAAGAGATTTTATCCCTCTTAATTTGACTAGTGATATTATTCTCAATTGGACTCATAGGCAGGGAAAGATTCCTATAACCAATTACCAATAGTTAGAATAATACTGTTAACTTTTATTGTTTATGTAGAATATAAAAGCAGAAAATTCTTTGGAGAGCATTTGATAGGCTTTTGCAAAGGACATTTTTGTTGGTTACCATCATTCTCAGATTGATGTTCTGCTGATCTCAGGATCGCAAGCATGGTGGAAACTAGAGCAGATGATGGGAACTAAAGCTGGGAATTCATGATGGTATATAATTTCTCATGCTTTCTAATTTCTTTTGCGTTTAGTTTGCTACTTTGGCCTTTTTGGTCTTGCGGGATAGACACTAGGAATTGCATATTTAAAGTTTGGGCTATTGTATATTTTTATATAATGAGTTCATTTAGAAATTACTGCTAATTTGGTTGTCCTGCTAAATTTCCCATGCAACATAGTCAGATTTGTAGAGGTGAATGACAGTAGGATGGAGGTCATTCTTAGGGTATATTGACAGGAAAAAATTTGGTATATGTGTTGGCATAAGCAACTAGAACTCTAAGATTATCTGTAGAAGTTTGATATGGTAATGAATTTATAAACGGATTCATGAATGTTAAGCCTCAGTGTTGAATATCAGATTCCTTTTGAGTGGTATGGCTTTTCCTTGAGCCATACTCGTGTATATGAAGAATATGGCAGATGATGTGAATTCAATTGGACAATTTTGCAGTCATATGTTTTGTATTTACATTTTAGTCATTATATCTGAACACGAGAATATAATTTTTCTTATTCATACTTTTTTCTTTATATAAAGGAAGACATATATAAGCTGACTACAAAATGTACGACTAAGATAATTGATTCTATGTAATATTTCATTCTAATCTCTTTCTTATAATATGAGCTAGTTTGGTCCTGATTGAATAACCCAAAACAGGGGATAGATTCCCCTAATCATGGGATTCAAAATCTCTTAATCATTGAATTTTGCACACTCTCTCTCAAACTGGCTTGAAGATGTCAATCATTCCCAGCTTGCTAGTTAGATCCTCATAAGAAGAATTTTGAAGCCCTTTGGTAAGAATATTTGCTAGTTGCTTCTCTATAGGAATGTAAGACACGAAGACAATTCCTTCTTCAATTTTCTCCTTTATAAAATGTTGATCTACTTTAGCATGGTTTGTTATATCATGGTACACTAAATTATAAGCAATGTTAATAGTAGCCTTATTGTCACAGTATGGTCTCATAGGAGTTTCAGTGGGTATTTATGCTAGTCATAGGTGTCCTACAAGCCAATCACGTGAGTAATGACACGTGTGACTTGACACACAGTCTTTTTGCTTATTATATTTTGGCATTTATCATTTTATATTGCTTGTTGCATATACGCATATATATATTGTAATGTCCTTGGATCTGTGCAATGGGAATCAGATTGTGATGAGATCATGATAATGAGACTGATTTGCCTTTAGCTCATTGGGGAATGAGTTCACTGATTGATCCGCTTACGAAATGTTGAATGGTTGAGACACCAAGGATTCCGTAGTCCTAGTAGTGTATTTGGTCCTTAGACTTGAGACACTAAGGATGTCCTGTATGAGTGCTCCACTCTTTGATACCAGACTTATAGATTTGGATGTCCCAAATCTAGCACAACTGGTCATCGGGAGTGGTAGTCAACCTTACGAGGGCTATTGAGTATCGATAGAGGATCATCCATTCTTGGTGTCATGAGAGGAATGTCCCATGTGTTCTTGCTCAGACAAATCCCTGACTAGGGTCATTCAGATTAAGAGAGAAAAAGCTCTCCGGGAGAATCCGATTAGAGCGAGACTCGAGTAGAAACCGTATGAGTGTGATAGCACCATGCTCGGTATACGGTCTTTGGGATATTAGACAGATGAGAGACTATAGGTACACAGTAATTGAGGACAGACATGTCTAATGGATTGGATTCCCTTGTATCGTCTGGGGACTATGGCGTAGTGGTCTAGTACGTCTATAGTCGATGAGTCGAGTGAATTATTATGTAGATAATAATTCACTAAGCCAGAAGGAGTTCTAACAAGTATGACTCACGGCCAACTTAATATTGAGCCTAGAGGGTCATACACATATGATAGGCATTGCGATAAGTAGAGGTTCGAATATGAGATATCCATTGGAGCCCCTATTTTATTGGATACTCAATAAGCCCTTGAATTATTGGATCCTATGGATGAGATCCAATAAGAGCTCATGAGAGAGTATTGGATAGAGATCCACTAATCTAAGAGGCTTGGGTAGTTGGATGTAGATCCAATACCCAATAGAGGATGATCCATTAGGGTTAAGTTGATAGGGGACCTCTATAAATAGGAGGGTTTTGATAGTTTATAGGTTAGAGTTTTTTGCTTCCTCTTTTATTCTCCTCTCCCTCTCCACCTCAGAGCAGGCCTGGAGTTTTGAGGAGCATCATCGCAGCTCTGCTGTGTGGATCACCGCTAGAGAGGAGGGTGCTTGACCTCCTTTATCTTCTCCTAGAGATCTGTAGGGATTCATGGATATACGATCTCCCTAGGTAACACAATCTATCTCACACGTGATTTTTTATTTCGCGGATTTTTGTACACCAATCTTCGTACAACGACAAACATATCTTTGGGAATTAGAGATTTTGTTTTTTGTTCTTCTGCTGCGAATGTGATGTCGTCCCCAAGAATTCCCAATAATTTATAGTTATTTTAGAAGCATTTTTAGCCGTAAGAGTTCACAAATACCTTGTGCTATTGCTCTGAGCTCTGCTTCAGCACTACTTTTAGTAACAACTGTATATTTCTTGCTCCTCGAAGTCACCAAATTACCTCCAATAAATGTACAATATCTTGAAGTTGGTCTCCTATCACTTACTGATCTTGCCCAATTAACATCAGTGAAGGTCTTACTTCTCATATAATTGTCCTTTTTGAATAACAGTGCCTTGTTCAGAGTCCTTTTTAAATATCTAAGGATCCTATATATTGCCTTTAAATGTTCTTCACGTGATGAATACATAAATTGACTCACTACACTTATTGTAAATGTCAAGTCTGGGCGAGTATGAGATAGGTAAATCAACTTACCTACCAATCTCTAATACCTGACTACATCTACTGTGAGACTTTGAGATGGATATCCACAAGTTTACAACCAAGCCTCCTTGTTTCTTCAGAAGGTCTACGATGTATTTTTATTGTAAAATAAATATTTTATTTTTTTATCTCGTTATATCCATGGCCAAGAAATATCTTAGCTGGTCAAGATTTTTAAATTCAAACTCTTTGATTAGGATATGCCTTAATTTCTTGAGTTCTGAGACATCATTGTTTGTTAGGATAATATCGTCCATATAAACTATAAGAATAGCAATATCTCTATTATCTAAGTGTTTATAGAATATTGTATGGTTTGAGTGATTTTGAGTGTAACCATAGCCATGAACTGACCTTGTGAACTTCTTAAACCATACACGTGGTGATTGCTTAAGACCATAAAAAGATCTTCTTAGCTTGCACACCTTATCCAAGTCATATAAATTTTCAAAGTCGGGTGGTAGATCCATATATACTTCTTTACCTAGTTCTCCAATGAGATAAACATTTTTTACATCTAATTGATGTAAAGGACATTCAAAATTAGTTATAACAGATAATAATAATCGAATTGTGTCTCGTCTTGTAACCGGAGCGAATGTTTCTTGGTAGTTAATACCAAGGTATACAGTTTCAAATAATGCCGTCTATACCGGGTGGTACGTATCGGTCCGTCAACTGACCGGTACACGGACCTCCCGTTACCGGACGGAATATATATAGGATGCATTAAAGGCTGGAGAACATCAAGATCCGAGGAAATGAGAACATCAAGATATAGGATACGACATATCTTTAGATATAGGATGCATTGTACAAGCCTAAAATGATGTATTTTTCTGGTGTAAAAGCCTTAAAGGCCGGAGACAATCTATTATACAACACATCTTTAGATATAGGATGCATTGTACAAGTGGAAATGAGAACATCAAGATCCAGTGGCAATGAGAACTTCAAGATCCGAGGAAGGAATAGAGTTACCTATGTCTGGATATGGTTCAGACTCTTGGTAGTACTCAGGAACTTTTCTAGATTCCAGTATCTTGAATACACACAAGTAATAATAGTGATGTCTCTCCCTTGAACTAGACTGTTCAATAGCAGGTTGTGGTGTCGGAGATTTGGGTTCAGGAGTATCAACAGGAATAGCTGGTTGTTGGCTAGGTAGGTTTGGCAGAGGGAAAAAAGGAGATGAATCTAACAAGGAAATAGGGATTGGTAGAGATAGTTCCAGAAACAATTTTCTTGGATAGAATTCTCCCCTTGAAGAGGATTGTTTGGTTTTCAAAGAATATGATATCTATAGTGACAAATATATTTTTCAATATAGGATCATAACATTTGTAACTCTTTTGAGTTGGGGAGTAGCTAGTGAACACACACTTTAATGCACGAGGTTCAAGTTTACTTCGGTGATGATTATGAATATGAACAAAAATAATGCACCTAAATATCTTTGGTGGAAGAGAGTTAAACAGTTTTACATATGGATAAATGATCAAGATTGTTTGAAAATTAAATATTTTGGTAGGCAATTGATTAATCAAATATGAAGCAATAAGAATGGCATCTCCCCAAAAATATTTAGGAACACAAGTGGTAAATAAAAGAGAGCGTGCTACTTCAAGTAGGTGTCTATTTTTTCGTTCTGTACATTTTGTTGGGGTCTATCAACACATGAAGATTGGTGGATTATTTCAACTCTGACAAGTAGGAACCGAAAATGATATTAAAGTATTCTCTACCATTGTTAGTTCTTAAAACTTGTATTTTTGCTTGAAATTAATTTTGGATCATGGTATGAAAGTTCTTGAAAGTTTTTTCAGCATCATATTTTTCTTTTAAGAGGTAAATCTAACATACTCTTCTATGATCACCAATAAATGTTATAAACCACTTGGTTCCAAACAGATTTGTCACCTTAGAAGATCCCCAAATGGCACTGTGTAAGACTAAATGGTTTGGATTCTTTATAAGGCCGAGAAGGAAAACAGTGTGATGGTGTTTAGCAACTTGACAAATTTCACATTGAAATAGTGAACTGTTATTATTTCTGAACAGTGAACGTAAAAGCTTCTGCAAATAAAGAAAGCTTGGGTAGCATAGTCTATAGCAAGGTTTGAAATATTGTACTGTACCGATGTTTCAACATTCGCTCGGTACAGTACAATACTGTATATCGAGCGGTATATCATTCGGTATACCGCTTGGTATTATATATATATATATATATATATATATATATATATAT